CTATTTACTGCTTCCAAATACAGATACAGCTCAATAATTTATCTCCAACTCATTTTAATTCTTCCTTCCTTTTTTTCTTTTCTACAAATTTATTTAATATCCATTGCTAACATCCCAACTTCTTAATGCTGGCATTGAGATAAAGCTTGCTGTCCAAAGGATTGTATTCCTTCAGAAAGAGGTTTGCAGTTCACAAGCATTCCTTGATTTATGCCTATCACTGATGATGAAAAACATGCAAACAGTGATTCTTCATAAACTGGCTGGATTAGCAACAATTATGCTTCATTTTGACAACTAGAATATACTATATATGGTTATCATCACAACTGTCTTAATTTCTACATTGTGCAATACATAGCGCTAGCCTAGAAAAAAATTGGAAGTCACAACTGGTACAAAATATGGCAGCTACATTGGTGATCAGTTCATGGTACAAAGATTCTTTCAGATCTTCACAGGAGTTGACAATCTTGCCCAGTATGTATTTTCCTGCCTATTCGGGTCAGTAGGGGAAGTATTTTTGAAGGTACCCCTATGCCAGAGCTTCTTCGATCTGGTATGTTGGAGAGGAAGTTTGGTGTGGACCCCAATGTGAAATGCACTCCCTGCAGAGGTATGCCACCTTCTCAGCATGTAGGAAGTTACTAAAAAATATATCCCCTATTCCAAGTCTTTAACTGTTAATTTGTTTTCACATTTCATTTTTATATTTCAGTTATATTAATTAGGCTTTGCTTACATTTTGGGTACAGTGAAGTAAAATGGCATGACTACTCATTTATAAATTGATGGAAATATGCATTGGAGGAGCTAAGACTTTATGCTGTGTGGGACAATGCTTGACAGATTAACTAATTATAACAATCAGAGATTCTGCCTGGAAGAAAGCAACAAATCTCTTATTTATTTTTTATAAATTTTATATAGCATGTGTGTGCACACATTGGCATATATTTATTTTGTGGATAAATACTTATTTTGTGGATGTTTTTATTTTCTTAAAATATTTTTAAATTGTTTTATAATTTTAGAATTGTAAGCCTCCCAGAGTCACTTGGTTGAGTTTAGCAGCTATGGAAATCCAATATGAATGAATGAATGAGTGAATGAATGAATGAATGAATGAATGAATGAATGAATGAATGAATATCATTAACTAGAAACTCATCACTATATGATACCTCCTTTTGTTTATTTTTCACCAAGGTGTCTATGATGCTTTAGTTATTACAACTGCAAAGTCTGAATGAGATGTGATTGCATTTCAGCAATTCTTCAGAAAAAAATGACTTAAATGTATGTCTGCAGCTCATTTCTTTTTTCAGGTACTAAAAAATGATATCTCTTTATGGGGTCATATATGATTAGTTGCTCCTACCAAAATAATGGCTTTTGCTAGCAGAATCTAAAGGAGATAACTACTTCCACCCCATCTATTTCAAGAAAGTTCACAGTGTTAGACCCTGGCAATATTGCTTTATTAATGGTTTGGAATTGCTTGGATAATGATGAAATAAAGGTTGCAAACTTGAAGATATGCATGTCCAACTTTTAACTGCCAATTAGAGCAACAGGTGTTAACTACTTATGTATATTTAACTGAGATAATTCAAACCAATTCAATATAAAATTGTGATTTTTCTCTCAGGTATTATCATTTTGATAATAAGGTGAATGGCATTGTGAGTTTATGGATAATAGAAATATCTACTTACATTGCCCTTTGTTGAGAAAATGTCATTGAAGAAAGCACAAGAATAAAATGGGAATGTAATAGCTGAAGGTAATAACAGTCCATTCTGCTAAAATACAAAAGCACTTAAAGAAAAACTTTGAAGTTACTGTGCAATTGCTAGAAACTGCTTTCTTCACTTCACACCACACTGCATTCTTAAGTCTTTGATTTTTTGCAATAAATAGATTTACTTGATGGTTTCTTAACAATAATTATAAAATTCCAGGTATTTCTAAAGTTGTTGCCAAAGCTTAATCTAATAACATTTTATTAAATCCTTATAGTAAGATTGCTATTGAAGGATATCCTTGATAAGCTACTCAAATTATTCTTGGCCATAATTTCATTTGACAGTTCAAATTCACCCATAAATACATTCCAATATAATATGTGCTACTTTGTTACACTGAGATGATTCTGATTCCATCATATTCAAATTCATTTCTGAATATTTGAGAAATGTTACAATGTGTTTTGAGAGATATGGTTTACCTTAAAGAGAGGTAGCTAAAGGGTGCTCTCTGGGGGGAAAATAACTCACACAACAATATAAATAAGATATTTACTTTTCCAAAGAAAATAAAAATAATACCATAAAATAAAATTTAGAAGTAAACTCCATTGATTACAATAGTCCTTATCTCAAATAGATAGCTCTAGTACTGTTTATGCTTCAATATTACATCTCAGTGTGAAGTTGCAATCTAACACCTATGTACTGATTGATTATAGTTTCTGAATAGTTTTTATCCCAGAGCTATAATTGCACTCAACAATGAACTAAAGGGCCACCATCAGTGAGCTGTTGGACAGCATTACTTGGTCTGTTGTGTGGATGTTTGGGTGGTTTAGGGGTGGGGAATTTGTTGTGGGTGGGGGTGGGTTTGGGGATTGTTATGTGTGTTGGACCTGGTCTTGGGTATTAAGTGAATTTCGTTGTAAGGGTATACTGTGTATACACGTACAATGACAATAAAGTTGTTATTGTTGTTGTTGTTGTTGTTGTAAATATGCAATGCAATGTAATAACTTTATCAATATTTGGTTATCTTTAATCCCATGTGCATTATAGCTTTGTAAATCCTATGTTTTTATGTTAATATTATTACACACAGAAATACATGCACAGTCTGTCAAAAATTTTGCTTAGATTTACTGATCTTATATCTGCAAAACATTCAGATTCATCTGACCTATTTAGAATGTACCCACTTTGACTCAAGTTGCATCAAAATTCAAAGCTTTATTGAAAAATTCACTTTCTACTCCTTTATCTCTAACTGGGTTATCAACAATAAAAACTTTTTTATCCATCAGGCTTTCTTTCCTTTCTGTAATACTGAAGCAGGGACACAATGGTGAAAAAATAACTGTAGTTTTTATATTCGTGCTTAGTTGCTTTATTTTTTAAAAGCATTGCTTTAAAAAACTTTTTGTTAGTAGAACTGGATAAAACATGAAGAGGTGTTTGCTCTGTTGGAGAACATTATGCCAGCTTGGTGTCAGAAAGATAGGTTCATAGATTTTCACACAAGCCTAGAATTAATAGATTGGGAATCTTTAAAAAAAGACGCTTTTCTCTATCATTTTTTTGTGAGTAAATGATATGAAAGTGGAGCATAGCACAAATACTGTATAGCCTGAGACAAGCAAGATAAATGAAAAACATGTTAAGACTTCCTTATTTTTTAGCTCAACTGACTCACAATCATATTGTGATTGTTGTTTGTAGAAGTATTCAAATAATATAGCCAATATTATTTCAGTGCTAAATTCTTTTATAGGTACAACCTATGAGAGTTACATCCCAACTGATTATTAAAATATATGATAAATGTATAAATATGATAAATGATTATATGACATTAAGCATATATTTAATTCACCAAGTGTATCCACAATGGGTATGGGAAGATGACCCTAACTTGTTACATGTGTGCAAGGTGTTATTAAAATCATCCTGATTATTTTTAATGCAGTCCTTGTGGACTCAACATCTCTCTGCATTATCCAGAACCCATCTCTCCAGAATATGTGGAACTGAAATTCCAAATGGTTTTATATGGTTTTCTTTTGTTCTGTGTGATTAAGTAATGCTTTAATTTGGCAGACTTTAGGGCACATAGAATAAACATGAACTGTCTCCCCAGAAAAAAATGAAACAAGTATTTCTTGTTAATGGAACAGAGTAGGTGACTTTTGCCTCTGCAATCATCTCCTCATTTTATAAATATCATGAAGTTGGTGGCCCATGTATCTCCCAACCTTCTAGGAAGCAGCAGGCGAAGCTAAGCAGAATCACATCTGATACCTGTACAATTAGCAGAGGGGCCCCACAAGGCTTTGTGCTCTCTCCACTTCTCTTCTCTCTATATACCAATGACTACATCTCAAATGATTCATCTGTTAAACTACTGAAGTTCACAGATGACACAACAGTGATCGGTCTCATTTGAGACAATGATGAATCCACATACAGACGGGAGGTTGAACAACTAGCCTCATGGTGTGACCAGAACAATCTGGAACTGAACACACTCAAAACTGTAGAAATGGTGGTGGACTTTAGGAGAAACCCTCCCATACTACCACCTCTTACAATACTAGACAACACAGTATCAACAGTAGAGACCTTCAAATTCCATATCTCACGACCTAAAATGGACACCGAATATCAAAAACATCATCAAAAAAGCACAACAAAGAATGTTCTTTCTGTGCCAACTCAAAAAGCTCAAACTGCCCAAGGAGCTGCTGATACAGTTCTACAAATGAATTATTGAGTCTGTCATCTGCACCTCTCTAACTGTCTGGCTTGATTCTGCAACCCAACAAGACTTCAGAGGATAATTAGAACTGCAAAAAAAAAAAAAAAAAAAAAAACCCAATTACTACCAACCTGCCTTCCATTGAAGACCTGTATACTGCACAAGTCAAAAAGAGGGCTGTGAAAATATTTACAGATCCCTCGCATCCTGGACATAAACTGTTTCAACTCCTACCTTCAAAACAGCACTGTAGAGCACTGCACATCAGAACAACTAGACACATGAACAGTTTTTTCCCGAATGCCATCACTCTGCTAAACAAATAATTCCCTCAATACTGTCAAACTAGTTACTAAGTCTGCATTACTATTAATCTTCTTATCGTTCCTATCACCCATCTCCTCCCACTTATGACTGTATGACTGTAACCTTATTGCTGGTATCCTTAAGGTTTATATTGACTGTTTTCCTATGACTGTCATTAAGTGTTGTACCTTATGAATCTTGATGAATGTGTCTTTTCTTTTATGTACACTGAGAGCGTATGCACCAGGACAAATTGCTTGTGTGTCCAATCACACTTGGCCAATAAAGAATTCTGTTCTGTTCTGTTCTGTTCTGCTCTGTTCGCTCTGCTCTGCTCTGTTCCGTTCTGTTCCATTCCATTCCATTCCATTCCATTCCATTCCATTCCAAGATAGTAGAAAGGATTATGCTCAACACCCTTAAACTAATATTCCCTAACCTATCAACATACTAAGAAACATGGTTTTGCTTAGTTTCTGAAGTCAGAAAAGGTTGTCCAGGTGCTGCCACCTTCTGTTTGTTTGTTTGTTTATTTACTTATTTATTTATTTATTCTGGTGCATTCAAGCAAGTCTTTTTCCAACATTTATTTTAAAAGTAACTTAGTTAAAGAAAAATGGCTACACACAATTATAAAAGAAAAAAAAACTAAAAGGAAGAAACAAAAACAAATATATGTGATTGTGTATACATATCTCACATAAATTTATATATATATACATATATAAAGTTATATAGTAAACATATAACCAAATTTTATTCAAATTTTACATAGCTAATCTATACTGATCTATTCTGCAGACTAATAAATATTTGTAATTATGTTTGCCTTTCCAATGCTGAACAGTAGGTCCTTGGGCTTTAAGATCTTTTCCTTCATTCAGTTGTCAGTTTCCATGTGAAAAAGATGAAATTTAAAAATCTGTTGAAGTTTTTTGGTATTTTTTAATGTCCTTTTATTAGTTAAATAAAACATCAAAACAAAAAAGAAAAGGAAAGGAAAAGGGAAAATACATAAATAATAATTCTAAAATATATTTAAAGTTTTAAAAGTTTGATATTTTTTAAAAATAGCAAAACAAACAAACAGATTTGTATAAATATTTTAAAAACATGGATATTCTACAAGTCTAATCAAATTCAAGCAGGATTTGTTCTTTTACCCACAATATATCACACAGTAAAGTAAACTAAGATACTTAGAATATGGTTTTTGAAGAAAAAGAGAAACTTTTTTTTAAAGTTTCCTTTTTAAAAAGGAATAACAACAATGATCCAAACAGAAGTGAGAACAAACTCCAAAATGAACTATAAAAATAATCAATTAGCAATAGTGGTAGGAAAAAAAGACAGGGGGAAAGAGAAGGAGACTACAAGTAAATCAGGAGTGGGCTTCATGGACAAATCCTTCAGTTTTCCTGGAAATATTTTCAAAAGTGGGTTTCCATTGCATTGTTCTTTTGCTGACTGAGAGAGAGTGATAGTTGGTTTCAGTAGTGGTTTTCACTTACCTTCCAGTGCTGAAATCCAATTTTTTTTATTACCAGTTCTATGGACGTGGCTTGGTGGCTTGGTGTGGTGTGGTGGATGTGGTGTAGCTTGGTGGGCGTGGCAGGGGAGGAATACTGCAAAATTTCAATTCCCATCCCACCCCAGGGGAAGGATATTGCAAAATCTCCATTCCCACCCCACTCTGGGGCCAGCGAAAGGTGGAAATTGTCGGTTCTCTGAGCTACTCAAAATTTCTCCACACTGCTTAAAATTTCTGCTACCAGTTTTCCAGAACCTGTCAGAACCTGCTGGATTTCACCCATTACCTTTGCTACCAGTTCAGGACTGTGAGCACACACGTGGCATTTCTGCACATGTGCAGAACCTTCTGTGCATGTGCAGAGTGTCCGTGATGATGTCTGGTGGGTGGGCGGAGCCTTCCACCGCTGCCACTACTGATTTGCCTGAACCGGGGCGAACCGGTAGAAACCCACCACTGGTGGGTTTCCTTGCCTAAGGCAGGACTGACTGTCATTGACCCAAACACAAATTTCAACTGGGTTTACACATGTGATTCTCCATTTCAGAGGTAGGGAATAGAGATGTAAGAGATTATATATTCTTTTTTATGTTGTAACATTATGATTTATCAATTTCATTCTATCATGGAATGGACAGGAATGACAGAAATAGAATGTTGTTATCTCTTACTAGTTTATAGCTTATAGAGATAATGTAAAATAGTATATTTGAATTAAAGAACAAAATATTTTAGGGACAGTTTCAGGGAAAAAATAATATGATAGAAAGTGATGAATATGAAAACAGTATTTTTTTTGGGGGGGGGGGCATATGGCTAAGAAAACCACCCTTTAATTCGTGATGCAAAATCTTCAGTCTGTCAAGAGAGGTATCAAAATTCTGTATGAGAAGTATGGATTTGCCAAGATCACTGGACATTATAGAGTATTGTATGAATAATATGCAGCACTACATGTACATGGGTCTGATTTACAGTGTTTTGCAAAATCTAAGAGGTGAATTTCTAGTTTGCCAAAAGTTGTAAGAAGTAAGAGGGAGGAAGATTTTACTTCCCAGGCTTTTATGCGTACAATACTACATCATTAGTCAAGTGTGCAAGGATTAACAGTCCGTGTCTCTCTTTCCAGGCAAAGTTATTCACATATTTATATTAAACATGTTTATATTGTTGACAAATGTCATGTGTCATAAATTGGTAGGAAAAGTGAAAAAAATGAAAAGAAATAGCTTACATAGAATGCTTAAAACAGTTAAGCTACAGACTAAATACAGTTTATGTCTCTTTGATTAATTACACACGTGAGTCTTTTCAACAATACTATGGCTAAAACTATATGAATCCTGAAGTGATGCTATTAATATATAGCTGGAATATTATGAAGAATTGAATACAAGTCAAAACTGTAATCTTTAGTCATTAATTCAACCTGCAATAAGAAGTTTCATGAATTTTGGAAACTGACAACTAACATGTTGTACTTACATCATCAGTAGTGTTGTAAACCTATAACCCAGCCTTATAATTCCATGCTATACATATCACATTTCAATGGGATACATTTACAGATGCAACATTTTTCTTCATTTAAAGAGATAATGGTGTGCCCCCCCCCAAAAAAATTATCTTTCGATCTAGCCCATTTGGACAATTATGAAGGCACTAGGAAGTATTATCTATTGGATGATGCAGTATTATCAATATGCTGAGTATACTTAACCACACATAGGACACCATTATGGCAGTAAAAATCTTATCCCAGTGTGTGGAGGATCTACAGGACCTGGGTGGGAAAACAGATTGAAGTTAAACCTAAGCAAGATAAAATTACTATTCATTTATCAAGTCTCTGACATTGGCAGTTACACAGAAAAAAACTCTGACAGATCTCAGTTACAGATCTGTGACTTTTGATCTCCTAAATTCAAGGTTACTACAGGATGCTTTATATCCAGCTTCAGCTGGTGCTTCAGCTGTGACCCTATTTGGAGTGAAAGGCTCTCTCATTATTCTAAGTATTGTTGACATTTACGAGAGCCTCTCATTCCAAGTAGGGTCACACCTGGAGCACCAGCTGAAGGTGGGCACAGGGCATCCTGTAGTAGCCTTGAATGTAGGAAATCAAAGATGTCATCACTACTTAGTCGGACTACTGCAAATGGGTATGTGATTAAAGACCATTTGAAAGCTGCAATTGGTACAAAAAATAATGACCTATATCTTGACTAATCTTGAAGCAAAATACAACTCTGTGGTAGCCCTTAACTGGTTACCAATAGATTTCCAGATGCACAAATGAGCTAATATATAATAAAGGCTATTTCCAGCAATGCTCTGCCTCTAAAAAGCAAATGCCTCTTAACAATAAAACAAAAAACCTTACACAATAAAATTTAACTAGTTTTTTTCCTAGATGGTCTTAACAGAACAGAATAAAACAGTTGGAACAGACCTTGGACGCCTTCTAGTCCCCCAGTCATCTTTGTTGCTCATTTTTGCACTCTTTCCAGAGTCTCTATATTTTATAATACGGTGACCAAAATTAGATGCAGTATTCTAAGTGTGGTCTTACTAAGGCTTTATAAAGTGGTACAATACTTCATGTGATCCTGATTTTATCCCTCTGTTAATGAAACCTAGGATTGTACTAACTTTTTTTGCTGCTGCCCTGGGTGGGTTCTAATTTTTTTTACTACCGGTTCTGTGGGCGTGGCTTATTTTGTGGGCGTAGCTTGATGGTCATGTGACAATTCTTTAGGATTTAGCAGAGGTACTGGTCTACCAGGCTTTTAACTGCTTGCAGAGCTGTACCGGTCTACTCATTTGTTTTTGGAGGCACTGGTCTACCCATTTATTTTTGCAGGCATCGGTCTACTCATTTATTTTTGGAGGCACCAGTCTATTCATTTATTTTTGCAGGCACCGGTCTACCCATTTATTTTTGCAGGCACCAGTCTATTCATTTATTTTTGCAGGCACTGGTCCACCCATTTATTTTTGCAGGCACCGGTCTACCCATTTATTTTTGCAGGCATCGGACTACTCATTTGTTTTCTTTTAACACTGATCAGCTGTAGGGCGGCCCTTTGAAGCCCCGCGGCAAGAGTTTAAACAGTTTTTTTCTCTCTAGCCAATCAGCTGGGACTCAGGAGGCAGCAATAGATTGGGGGTGGAGCCAAATAAAAGGTAAGAATAATGCAGGGGAGGCAGGGGGATGGTGGGGCGGGGGGGCAGAACTGGTTCGGTGACATCATATCGTCACCGCGACCGGCTCGGCGGAACCGGACAGAACCGGGAGGAGCCCACCACTGCTGCTGCCACATACTGCTGGCTCATATTTAAGTGATTGTCCACTAGGTCTCCAAAACCCCTCTCCCTCAACATGATATTGACCCAGGTTTCACCTAATCTGGTCCCAAGATCCCTATAATAAACCAGAGCTTTAGGATTTTCCACCCCACAATTCAAATTCCTTATAAATGACATTATTATATTGTTCTCTATTCCATAAGCTGAAACCCAACAATAATTTCAACAAAGCGTGATCTGTGATTTTCCCACCGAAATGGTACCTATTTATCTACTTGCATTTACATGATTTCAAACTGCTAGGTTTTAGGAGCTGGAGCAAATAATGGGAGATCACCCCATCATGTGGTGCTTGAGTCTTGAACC